TTTTCCAACTTTCTTAAGGTCTGCTGCCCTAAACTGGATATGGGACCCCAGCTAAGGTCTCATCTGTGCTGGATAGAGTAGAATAATCATTTCTTGTGTCTAACATGCGGCATCCCTGTAAATACCTTCCAGAATGAGATTTGCCTTTTTTGCACCATCACTGCATTTGAAGGCTCAAGATCTTTGTACTACTTACAGTGCCCAGTCAACTGCAATAATTAGGGTGATGTCATCTGTAGGCAACCCGACTGATGTCAGAACAATGACCATGGTCACGAGGCCAGCTTGTGGGATACCTGCAGCACCTATACTGGCAGCTGTTGCTGTGATACTTGAGCAAACAAGAAAAGGAACAATAAGATTTAACAGCACTGGATCTTGACCGGAAATAACACACAGTAACCATACATTTCTGTATAACTTCATGATTGACATTACATAAGAAATTACTTAACTGAAGTCTTTGCAATAGGAATCTTAGTGGACTGTGATTAGAAAACAGTTAGGACAAAATTTTCACAGGGCTATATTTTCATCTGTATTTCCGCAGCCAGGTATGGGAGTTCAAGGGATGAAATTCTGCCCTGTGCTTCTCAGAGAGCAGCATAGACTTTACAGCACAAGGGGAGGACGTAGCTGTGGTAGCTATGGCCAACTTGTGCCCTCCAAATGCTAAGTTGCTTTGTAGCCCCAACTATAACTATCTGAACAACCCAAGGCCCTGTTATGATACTACCCAGCAAGGAGGCTCTCCAAAGGTACTTTATATTGGCATTAGCAGTTCTTGTGCCCCATGCATCTTTCTCGGCTGCCTTTGTGGCTTTTAGATCCCTCTTTGTCACTCCAGGCTTTCTAGCTGGCAGAAACTGGAAAAAGAGCAGGGAGAAACCCTGTATTTCACATATTTGGGTCAAACTATGAACAAGCATGACCATGACTCCATCCTTCGAAGTGTCCAGGAATAGGAAACCAGGACTAGCACTGCTCTTGGAAACGGCCAACTCTTGAGAAAGAACTTAGATCACCCAGTTAAAAGGCAAAATGTAAGCATATTAAGACACAAAGTGGGTGACTTACTAAAGGAATAATAATGACCTTCATATGCATTTATGCACTATCTGGACAAGACCCTCTAGCCAGGAACCTCTGGCTTTGCATCTAGCAGGAGAATTGGCAATCATCAGCCTTAGCTGTAGCCAACACAAATGCCTCTGGGGAGGCTTAATAACACCCTGAAACATATAGCAGAAAAAAATGGGTGGTGGGGAGTAGGGGGCAGGAGCAACCAGCAAATGGGAAATACCCATGGTAGAAAATAGGCATAGCTATGCCTACATCATCCCCAGCCAGTGACTGTCCAACCTCTTCTTGAACACCTCCAGTGATGGAGAGTCCACAGCTTCCCTAGGCATCTATTCCACTGCCTCACTATGCTCACAGTGAAGACATTTTTCCGAATATCCAATCTAAATTTACTTTGCTACAATTTCAGGTCATTGGTCCGTGTCCTCCTCTATGTGGCAAGAGAGAAAAGGTGCTTTCCCTCTTCTTTATAGATAGTTAACAAATCTGTTGAATGGTTGAGTGGCATTATCTCCATTTTCCAATTAAGTAGCTTTCTCATAGTTCATAGCTCTAAACAAAATCCATGGTTCTTAGCTTTCACACAATACATACATTAATTGCTTATGAGAGAGAAAATTAATATTAATCAGTTTTTATGAAAAACCCAAAGCTTTTGTGGCATTTGGATAGCATAGTGCCAGCACAGCCTCAATAGAAAGGAGTATTATTTTGATGTGTGAAAGAGAAACTTATTTTGACAATGATTATTTGTTAGTTACTGTGCTCTGTCCTTTTTGTCCTCCAGGATTACTGCTGCTCCCTTTAAGTCAATGGAAAATCACTCCTAATGACTTAATTGGGACCAAGTAGCCTCTTAATGAATTAGTGAGGTAAGGGAAAACTCCTGCTGCTCATATGCTGCTTCAGAGCAACTTCATAAATTCAGCCACTCAGAAACGGCCTTAATGTGGATCTTTGCTGTTGATATAATTATATTTTCAGTGGAAACTGCCAAGAAAAGGAGAAGGTCTCTGGCTCACCGTCCTGCTGTTGTCAGGGTCTTGGCACCAGATCTGAAGCCAGGTTTGCAGTTCAACTCTATTTTCATAACAGGCAGTCAAATTTTAAAATAAATAAATAAATAAAGCCTCCAGAACTTGGAAACATTTGTTTTTGGATCCAGATTTTAAATCTTCAAGTACAGAAATAGTTAGTTCTGGGGTGGTTGCTATATACAGGTGATGTTTGGATTCAGAGATGGAATTTGAGCCTAGGTTTGGTGTGGAGCTCAACCCTGCTAACTATCCATTTCTCCCTATCTTGCCTTTCATTGCAAGCCATTCTACCCTTCATTCCCTCTTCCTTCCTGCAGTTATTTTTAATGTGCCTATTTTACATATAATTCCTTCTTAGTATGAGCATTATGAATAGCACTCTACAAGGCGCAGAAGAAAACCTAATTCTCCTCGGAGGAGTTTACAGAACTATATTCTTTCCACCTCTCAGCATGCTTCTTGCCCTCTGCTTTTTCAAATCACCCATTTCACCTCCCTTCCCCACCTGGATGACTTTTGTGACGTGCCATATGCATTGGCCCTTGTTCTGGTCCAGCTTCGAAACGTCACATATGAAATTGCAAAGCTGGCTCTTTCACGTGGTCGTTCTAATGCAAACTAAAGAGGTGAGAACACAAGAAACCAAATGGTGTGGGTAAGACTGATTTCCTCCACCCCATATCATTTTTTTAGTTTGACCAACCTGCCATATACTCGCAAGCAAACCTGAGCCATGGTGTGCAGTTATTTTCAGTACGCTGCTCTTGCCATTAAGGCCTTGACTGCACCATGATCCCATGGTGGTGCTCCCAGGCTTCCTATGGAGGCAGCTTAGATCTGCCCAAAGAGGCTTCTCTCAGCTAGGTAACCCTGGGACCTCTCCATGATCAGGGTGGCCTACAGCCCCAGCTCCTAGGCTAAGTTCTGTTCTAAGTCTCAGAGATGCAGCACACAGTCCCAGCAAGCGCATACAACCATCAGGCCTTTTTTTGGGGTTGAAAACAAGCAAATCACAGAAGTGCAGATAGGAGAGCGGTGAGGTCAGTGGGTGTGTGGGTAAGCAGATCTCTGTTGTGGTCAGAGCCTTATGCACTACAGAAATGTTTTTCTAATCATTTGTTCCTGGCTTGAAAGCTGCAGGTTGTCCTCCCCGAGGCAGTCCTTGGCAGACGGTAAAAATATGCTGGCAATAATTCCTCTCTCTTTTGGGCCAGTTGCAGGATTTTCAAGGAGAACATATTAAAAAAAATATATATTATCTATAGTTCCTATATAGTTGGTCCTCTCTTGACCAGCAGAAGACTGAAACGTAATTGTACAACCAGCAGCATGGGAGTCATCTTTAAAACTGGGTTACATAATGGTTGTGCATAACGCTTGCACCTCCGAGGCTTAGCAGGGGTCCTGGCTTTGTGCCCTCCGGATCTTGGACCACTGGGGAGGTTAGAGAGGCCTGATAGCAGCCTCCTTGGGCACATCTACACTGTCTCGTGGAAAGCGTGGGAACACCGCAGAGGAGCAGTTCCTTTTTACTTGTTTGTGCCAAAGCCTAGGAAGTAGGGAGTTTAGCATGACCCTTACTACACACCGAGTAGCACACCTGAGAGAAGGTGTGAAAGCAGCTTTGTGCACCTGCCCTGGGCCATGCTAAACTGGCTGCACTGCCTGATTGTTGGGCTTTGCTGCATGCTGAATGGGAGCAAGTGGGCAACTCAGCAGTGCTCACAGGCTCAAAGGGCAGCACTGCACATGATTGCTGAGGCTGCCTCATGGACCAGGCAGACCAGAATCTCCACCCTGCCTGGTTGGACAGGTCCTTCCAGCATGTATTTCAGGGCTTTTTTTTTACAGGTAGCTGTTTTTCAGTTTTAATGCAGGGCAAATCCTCCCCTTGTCTGACACAGCACTTCATGGCTCTCTCATGTCTCTCTGGCCCTTTTAAATGGCATGGAAAGCAGGACAGAGATTGAGGATGTCACCCCTGGAGGGAGGTGGTTCTTAGGTGCTTCCCCTACCCTGTGCACCGGAAGCTCAGTCCTCCTAGCACAAAGCTTGGGAGGGCTTCCCTTTTGATAGGATTCAGGGACAATTGTACCTAAACACTGATAGAAACAAAGTTCTAATCCTATTTAAATGAGCGATGACGGGACTACAATAAGCAATGAAAAAGCCCCCCCTAATGCACTGAAACATGTGGCGCTATTCGAAGTGTGCCTCTTAGGCTAGGCTCAGGTGTTTGTGTTCCCCACTTGTGATGAGGAGGAATGGGTCCTTTAGTTCACACTATGTGATCACAGTTCAAAGGAGTTAGGGCCTGAACGCTGCAGATGCTGCAGTGTGGTTAGCACATGCTTTATGAGAGAGCATTACACACTTAGTAAGTCCAACAAACTGAAAGGCAGGGAGATTTTAGTTTGATACCTTATAGTAATAATCTGTCCAAAGTCTAGCTCATAGTTGTTTACTTGAGCAATAAAGATGGCTGCTACCGCTTCGTACAGCGCAGTCCCATCCATGTTGATCGTGGCCCCCACAGGCAGCACAAATCTGGCAATCCTCCTGTCCACATGGTTATTCTCCAGCAAGCACTTGAAAGTTATAGGCAATGTGGCTGAGCTGCAAAATATCACAGAGAAGCACATTTGTTTTACCCGCGGGGAATAAAATTATAAGCATTAAAAGCACGGCTTTTTTCCTGTGCTGGTCATATTTAACACTGTTTAAGCACTAGTTCTGCTTTTCCTTCTGTGCCTGTTGCAATCCCAAGTGGGCCTCTGGTTGATGTTCATGGCAGCTGTCTCACTGACTTCACTGCGAAAGGGGATGAGGCCAATTATTTTTAACAAGCAAAAGAAACTTGAGAGAGTGGACACGCAGATTCTGCGTTACGGCATCATGCAAGTCTTGAATTCAATTTCTCTTCTACAAGATGGAAAGTAAGGCTAGGAGATGCTGCAGTGTGTGCTCAGCTGCTAGAGGGTTGGGGCAGGACAATGTCTCTTGCAAGCAGTGATGGTACCAAGTGAGATTGCCAACCCTGACAAAGAGTTTTAAAGCAGGGAGGACGTAAAGGAAGGAAAGGTGAGATACTGTCATCAGGGCTCCAGCAGGGGCATAAAGAAAACACCCCATACACAGCCTATTTCCTTCCTAGGAGAAATCATACTGAAGAGGCCAGTGTTCCTCAAATGCAAGAACCTCATCTTGGGCATGTACAAGTTTTTTCTCGCATATCCAAGTGAAGAGCTCTTGCTCCCTCTAGGACCCCAGGAGTTCTGACCACAAACTGAGGGTGGGCCAACACGTGCTGATTATTAATCCTGAACCCAAATGAAATGCCAGCTTAGGTAACAGGCCATCGCATTTAAACAAAAAATCTTGTTTGCTGTTGTAAGGACAGGTTGCTCCTTGAACTAAACCCTCTGAAATAGCCTTCCCCCTCCATCGGCAGTAGGCAAGTTGTGGCTCCTGGTCCCGACTGGCCAAGAATTGCCCATACTCTCTGGCTGTTGCTGACACTCTGCAAAGCGTTAACCCACTATGTTTATATTACACGGTGTTGTTAAAAGGTTGCCAGAAGAAAAGTGGCCCATGCAACATGAATATGGCACTTCTACATATTTGCATTATGATTCAGCCTTTCCTTACCCCATGCAGATGTGTTCACGTGTGCGAAGTTTGGTGTGACTTGCCCAGAATCACATAGGAACTCTAACCAAATCCAAACCTACAGGATAGCACTGAAGTGCTCTAACCGTGGACATTTCTAATTCACAGCTTATATTTATTTTGGGTCAGTTTTTACCTGTGTTTGTGCCAACATTATCCTTTAGCTTGTCTTTCTCTCTCCCTGGTTTTTAATCTCTCAGATGTGACTATGAAGAGAGATTTTTCTCTTCCCTAGGTCTTCGCTTTTCTAGATTAATCCAGCTAGGCTCTTTTAATCTCCTCTTGGATGATATTCTCCTCATATTAAAACCTGACACGTATCCTACAATTCAAACGCTATTCTTAAATTGCTTAACATGATTCAGATAGACCTTCCTGAACTCCTTGGTAAAAAGATGAGGCCTTTTCTGCACGCGGGACTGACTTACTGACAAGCAATCACAACACAGTCACATGCTGTTTACCTAATTTTATCCCCTCTTTTTTGGGAGCTATGCAGCTGCAGGGGTTTAATGCAAGCAAGAATTTCAGTCTTGCCAAGCTCTAAATACTGTGGACCACAAAGAAACAGAGCAGGGAGTATAAAAAGCTCCTTCCTACAGCTGTTCAGCCTTGCCTGTTTATCTTGTTGTTCAAGTCTATCTCTAGTATTGCTCACTCCAAAAAGTCAACAAACTGATCCCATCTCTCTTTAGTTAAATCTACCTTTAATTTATACTGCACAATAGCCATGGTTCCAAGGTTTTATAAGCAGCAAAAGCCCTTGGAAATGCTTATTTTTTTATTTACAAACAGTGTCAGGGAAAATGAAAGCTCTTCTGCTGGTGGGCTGTACCACTAAGAAGACGCTGTCTTTGATCTGCTGAGGTTGTAGAAAGATGATCAAAAAAATCCACCCCCCCATGCACCCTAGGAAAAGCATAATCAAAGCCAAAGGGCTTCCAGGGTTGCCAAATGTCCATGAATTTATGGACTATGCATTAAAAAAAACAGGCTAAAAACACCTGCCTGTAAATTCCACAAAATAAAATGCAATGAAAAAGAGCACCCCCCCCCCCCCCCCCCCCAAAAAAAAAAAAAAAAAAAAAAAACCCCCCCCCCCCCCCCCCCCGAATAAATAAATAAATAAATAAAAATTCAGCAACTAAGAGCTGACTGAAGCTCCCTCTTGGAAAGAAACTTGTAAGCAAGCTTGGACACCAGCAGTGTGGGAAACAGTGGGGCTGGCAGGGTAATGCCAGGGGTGGGCTGGGAGGCAGTAGCGTAATTAGGGTGGAGTGAAGGAGACACCAGTTCCGGGCACCAACTTAGAGGGGTCACCAGTATGGCCCCTTCCACCTCCCAGAGTCTTTTTCAGCCAACCTCATGATGCTCCAGCAGTAGCTATAGCAGCTTCTGCCTGAGCACAGATGGTAGGGGCAGGTAAGATTCTGCTTCCCTTTTCCCTGTCCTCCCCTCCTCCTCTCCACTGGTCAGTATAAGCCCCCCTGCCCCCCTTCCCAACTCTGCCTTGGCTGCTGAAATATCTTGCAATACCTCTGGGGCAAACAGGGGACCTCTGGGGGGTAGCATAGTATAAAATAATTACTGCAAGTCAACTAGAGCTGCTAACTCAAGACATTTTCTTTTATTGATAAACTGCAAACTTTTTCCCTATGATTTAGGGGTTTAAACCCCTAAATTTGGATTTGATATCTTTTATTAGACCAACACCGATAGTTGGAAAAATTCTTCTTAGAAAGCTTTTGGGCACAAACACCCTTTGTCAGGCTATGGAAGCATTTGCAGATGGTCTGTGCTCTTCCTCAATGGAGTGGTAAAGCAGCCAGAGGCCAGTACCTATAGAAGAAAGCAACCCACAGCTACAACCTGCATCTCTAAATTTGGACCCAGCACTTGTCTAGGGTCTCACAGTAGAGTTACATTTACATTATGCCAGACATGTGTCAGTAAAAACGTATGTCAGTAAATAAATTTTGTTGTCAGTAAAGAGTGAGCAGATTGTCCATAATATCTTTTTCTTGGGTTGGCAACCCTGAGAGCTTTCAAATTATACAACAAATTGTAGCTCTAATCCTGTGAAAGATGTTGTGAAGTGGGTGGGATTAATAATAGCAGCAAAACAGATGTTCCTTGAGCAAAGCTGTCTACATGAGATAGGATGGATCAGGACAGGGTAGGCAGAGGAGGGGACAAGCCACAAGCTTAGGCACACTCCAGACTGTACATTATTGCTGTTCTGAAATGGATCAGCCTATACCTCGCCTAATGTCTGGTGCCAAAACCAGGCCCAGCCGATGGACTTAAAAGCCTGGCCTCACCAGCCACATAGCCTTAGATATGTAGGATGCCACTAGGAGTGTCAGTGGGTCAGCCTGCCAACTGCACTGGAGAGCAAGTGCCTATTTAGTGACAGTCCTGTATGGATGCACAATGGGACCGCATCCCCGCAAGTGGGAACGTGTGTTTTGCAGCACCTCAAAGGCTTTTGAAGTGCCACAAAATGTACATGGTGCACATGAATTAGTTTACCACGCTTCATGCAGCAGGTTGGCAAAATTAGATACCAGGAACTTCCAGCATCTAACAAAAACAGAATGGGGGGGAGTTGTGCAGCGCACATGGCAGCAGTGTGTGCTGCTCAAAACCAGAGCCTGGCCAGCCAGAGCCACAGTCTGGCTGCTGGCCAGGTTCCATGCACTCAGATTGCCGCTGCTGCAGCCCCCAGGTCCCAGGTAAGGCTGCTGGAGCCCCCAGGCTCCCCTACCCCACCCAGGAAAATTTGTTGCATGCCAGAGTGCATGTGCAGAGACGCTCCCTGGGGACAACTAGCTGTGGCACAAATATGTGCCACAGCTAGTTGTCCCCAGAGAAATGCATGCTCCTGCTCATGGGGATGCTCCCTGGGAGTATAAAAGAAACTTCTCTTGAGCTTTTCTCCTCACCAGTATATCTGTGCAAACAGGGCAGGATTTTGTTGTTTACATGCTGCTTTTCAGTACAAATGTGGAAGGTGAAATACTAGGCTAGAAGGGAACTGAGAATACAGTCACTTTTTCACTTATAGGAAATTACTTAAAAGTTGGCCTAGTTCAATAAACTCAGTGCCATCAGCTGCCTGTTCAGTGGCTTGCAGTTCCTACAGTATATGGTCTCTTGTTTCTTCTTGCTACTTTGCCTTTTAGCTAAAGAAATGTTTCCACAGATGATGGCTAGCTGGTATTAATACAGGACCACTAATTTCCAGCAGTCATTAGATGTAGACGTGAGCTGACACAGAAACATCTGCAAGGACAAATTGGTGTGCCTAAATCAGGCTTCTTTTCTCCTCTTAAGAGCTCAAAATCCAATGCCCATGTTGTTAATGTTACGTAATGCTCTTGTGACAAGTATTACTTAACTAGCTGCAGATGTGGTGGCTGTCAGAAGAAGTAGGTCTACTGTCCAACACCAATCATTTGTGCGTGTTCTTTTGGCAACCACTCAGTTTTGCGCAGTATCCATTCTTCTTGGGAAAGCCAAGGTGAAAAGTTCAGCTATCCCAAAACAAGATACCACCAGTCAAAAAGAAAAATATTAACAGCCATATCATTCTTTTTTAAAAAGGTGTATATTGCACTTGCAACATCTACATCTACTAGTGCTAATGCAAGGGGGCAATGCACACAGGGTAGAGAAGTTTGGTACCTACTTGTTGTGTCGGACTTCTTGGTCCAAAATTTAGATACTCAAATAAATCCCCCACTCGGCTGGTGACTAGGCCTGGAAGTGTCTAAAAGCCTCTAACTTTCAGATGCAGCTTACATACCAAACTATCTATGTCTGACAGTGCTTTGCAGGAGTGTGGCTCGCTCACATCCAAGCCCCAAACATGGGAAATACTATGGAGGATCTGGACTTTGGCTCTGTAGTCTGGCTACTACAAATCAGGCCTGATTTTTGCCACATGACTTATGAGAGTAGAATCACATCTCTTCTACTTCTAAAAAGTAGCAAGATCAGCTAAAGCCTTTGATTGTAAACTACAGGGAAGGTACCTCTTAAGTGCAGAATAACTCAATAATATTATAGATATAAGAAGATGGAAAAAAAGGATGAGACACAGTATAGTTTCATAGTTTCATAGTTTCATAGTTTCTAGGGTTGGAAGGGACCTGAGAAGATCATCTAGTCCGACCCCCTGCCATGGCAGGAAAGAGTACTGGGGTCAAACGACCCCAGCAAGGTGTTCATCCAACCTCCTCTTAAAAACCCTCAGGGTAGGAGC